CCCCCAAACCTGACCCCAAACCCCCAAACCTGACCCCAAACCCCCAAACCTGACCCTAAATCCCCTAAAACTGATCCTAAACCCCCAAACCTGACCCTAAATCCCCTAAAACTGATCCTAAACCCCCAAACCTGACCCCAAACCTGACCCTAAATCCCCTAAAACTGACCCCAAACCTGACCCCAAACCTGACCCTGCCAATTCCTCGGATTTTCGCTCCCCCAAAATCAGGAATTCTCCTTTTTCCCCCCAAAATTCCCCAGGATTTGGGGCTCCCCTCACCCCCGGGGATTGAGATCCTCGTTTTCCCACGGAATTCCAGGGATTTCATCCCAAAAAAATCCCGAAAAAACCCTTGGGATTCTCCCAAAAAAAGCGAAATCCCGGGAAAACAAAGCTCCCTTTGTTTGGGGTTTTTATTTTTTGGGATCCCTCAAAGGCTCCTCTGTTCCCGCTGCCAAAAAAAAAGGGAATTTGGGAATTTTTCCAAGTTTTCAGGGCTGGACAATTCCCTGATTTTCTGGGAAATAAAGGGAAAAGGGAGATTTTTTTTTTCCCTTAATTCCGTTTTTTTTTTGTTGTTGTGTTTGGGATCCTGATTAAAATTTTCGGGAGAAACCTCGGAGGGAAAATTCCGGGGGTGAGAAAAAGTTGGGAAAAAGGGGAAAAATGGTGGAAAATGCAGGAAGCTGCCCAAAATAATCATGGAAAATGTGGAAAAACAGCCCAAAAGTCACGGAATGTGTGGAAATCACCTCGAAAAATCAGCGGAAATGGGGGGAAAAACCCCAAAATTCACAGATTTCCATCCAAAACCCCCCAAATTCCCACAAAATTCCCAAAATTCCCACAAAATCCCCAAATTTCCCACCAAAACCCCAAAAATTCCTACAAACCCCTCAAAAGTCACTCCAAAACCCCCAAAATTCTCCAAAAATTCCCAAATTTCACTCTCGAATTCCCAATTGCCAAATTTCTTGATGAAAGCCTGAAAATTATCATAAAAACCATGAAAAATTCCCATAAAATCCTTAAAAATTCCCATAAAATCCTTAAAAATTCCCATAAAATCGCCAAAAATTCACCAAAAACCCCAAAAAATCCAAAAAGTAAAAAAAAATCCAAAAAAAAATCCAAAAAAGTTCCCATAAAATCCTTAAAAATTCCTATAAAATCCCCAAAAATTCACATAAAATCCCAAAAAATTCACAAAAAAAATTTAAAAAATTAAAAAAGATAATAAAAAAAATTCCCATAAAATCGCCAAAAATTCACAAAAAAATCCCCCAAAAATTCCCATAAAATCCAAAAAAATCCCCAAAAATTCACAAAAAATCCCAAAAAATCCCCATAAAATCCAAAAAAATCCCCAAAAATTCACAAAAAATCCCAAAAAATCCCAAAAAATTCACATAAAATCACCAAAAATTCGTAAAAAATTGCCAAAAATTCACAAAAATTCCCATTTTTTCCCCATTTTTCCCGTTTTTTCCAGCGGGCTCTGGGTTCTCCTCCGCGTCCGGCTGAACCTGCGGCGCTTCGGCCGCTCCGGCCGCTCCATCCCAGCCACGGAATTCCCACAAAAACCCCAAAATTCACTCCAAAACCCCCAAAGTTCTCCCGAAAATCCCAAATTTCACTCCAGAATTCCCAAATTTTGTGACGAAACCCTGAAAATTATCATGAAAACCATGAAAAATTCCCAAAAAATCCCCAAAAATCCCCAAAAATTCACAAAAAATCCCAAAAAATTCACAAAAAAATCCCCAAAAATTCACAAAAAAATCGCCAAAAAATCGTCAAAAATCACCAGAAATTCCTGTTTTTTCCCATTTTCCCCATTTTTCCAGCGGGCTCTGGGTTCTCCTCCGCGTCCGGCTGAACCTGCGGCGCTTCGGCCGCTCCGGCCGCTCCATCCCGGCGCTGTTCCAGGCCACGGCGCGGCGATTCCCGGACAAGGCCGCGCTGGTGGACGCCGCCTCCGGCTCCGTCTGGACCTTCCGGCACCTGGAGGAATTTTCCAACGGCGTCGCTCACCTGTTCCGGGCGCTGGGCTTCGGCTGCGGGGACGTGGTGGCCGTTTTCATGGAATCCCGGCCGGAATTCGTGGGGATCTGGTTGGGTTTGGCCAAGGCCGGGGTGGAGGCGGCGCTGCTCAGCTCTCACCTGCGCGGGGCGGGGCTGGCGCACGCCCTCACCTGCGCCGCCGCCGCCGCCGTCGTGTTCGGGACTGAGCTGGGGGCAGGTGAGGCGGGGAGGGGCGCGGGGGAGGTGGGGAGGGGCTCAGGTGAGGTTGGGAGGGGCTCAGGTGGGCACAGGTGAGGTTGGAGGAGCTCAGGTGAGGATGGGGAAGGCTCAGGTGAGGTTGGGACAGGCTCAGGTGAGGTTGGGAGGGGTTCAGGTGAGATTGAGATGGGCTCAGGTGGGCTCCGGTGGGGTTGGGAAGGGCTCCGGTGGGGTTGGGAAGGGCTCAGGTGAGGTTGGGATGGGCTCAGGTGAGGTTGGGATGGGCTCAGGTGAGGTTGGGATGGGCTCAGGTGAGGTTGGGATGGGCTCAGATGGTCTCAGGTGAGCTCAGGTGGGGTTGGGAGGGGCTCATGTGAGATTTGGAGGGGCTCAGATGAGGTTGGGAGGAGCTCACATGGTCTCAGGTGAGCTCAGGTGAGATGGGGCTCTTTCCCCATTTTCCCAGGCTCATTCCCCATTTTCCCGCTCTCTTTCCCCATTTCCCGCTCTCTTTTCCCGTTTTCCTGGGATCTTTCCCCATTTCCCACTCTCTTTCCCCATTTCCCGATCTCTTTTCCTGTTTTCCCGCTCTCTTTCCCCATTTCCCGCTCCCTTTCCCCATTTCCCGCTCCCTCTCCCCATTTCCCGCTCTCTTTCCCCATTTCCTGATCCCTTTCCCCATTTCCCGCTCTCTTTCCCCATTTCCCGCTCCCTTTCCCCATTTCCCGCTCTCTTTCCCCATTTCCCGCTCCCTTTCCCCATTTCCCGCTCTCTTTTCCCGTTTTCCCGCTCTCTTTCCCCATTTCCCGCCCCCTTTCCCGTTTTTCCAGCTCTTTCCGAGGCCGGCTCCCTGCTGGGGCCGCGCCTGGAGAAGTTTTCCTGGGGCTCCGAGGATTTGGGGCCGATCCCGGCGGGGTCGCGGCCCCTGGAGCCGCTCCTGGAGCGAGCCCCGAAATCCCCCCCGGGAAACGGCCCCGGGAAGGGCCTGGACGGTAAAAACGGGGGAAAACGGGGGGAAAACGGGAAAAATGGGGGGGAAATGGGGAAAAATGGGGGGGAAATGGGGAAAAATGGGGGGGAAATGGGAAAAAATGGGATAAAAATGAGGAAAAACGGGACAAAAATGGGGGAAAACGGGGGAAAACGGGAAAAATGGGGGGAAGATGGAGAAAAATGGGGGAGAAATGGGGGGAAAACGGGAAAAATGGGGAAAAATGGGAAAAATGACGGGAAAATGGGGAAAAATGGGGGAGAATGGGGGAGAAATGGGAAAAAACGGGGGAGAAATGGGGAAAAATGGGACAAAAATGGGGGAAAATGGGGAAAATGAGGGGTAAATGGGGAAAAATGGGGGGAAATGGGACAAAAATGGGGAAAAAACGGGACAAAAATGGGGAAAAATGGGGGAGAAATGGGGGGAAAATGGGGAAAAACGGGAAAAATGGGGAAAAATGGGGAAAAACGGGGGAGAAATGGGGAAAAAACGGGACAAAAATGGGGGAAAACGGGAGGAAAATGGGGACAAAAATGGGAAAAATGGGGAAAAATGTGGGGAAAATGGGAAAAAACGGGGAAAATGGGGGAAAAATGGGGAAAAACGGGGGAGAAATGGGGAAAAAACGGGACAAAAATGGGGAAAAATGGGAGGAAAATGGGGACAAAAAGGGGAAAAATGGGGGGAAATGGGACAAAAGTGGGAAAAAATTGGGAAAAAAAGGGGGAGAAATGGGAGGAAATGGGGAAAAACTGGAGAAAAAATGGGGAGAAA